CGCGGGGGCGCCCGCCCCCCGGCTCCCCCCGAGCCTTTCAAAGCCGCGGAGGGGCTCCGCTCCAGCAGCGGGGCATCCGGCGTACAAGACGACCCCCGATTTTTGGGGGATGTTTTTTAACATCAGAGGTCGTCTTGTACGCCGGAATATACGGTATATGTTATATTAGTGGTGCCAGTGGGAAGTGTTTCTGAAGGCAGGGGCCATTAACCTGCCCTGGAAGCTCCTCTTGTCTGGGTAAGCTGCTGGGAAGCTGATGCTGGGCTCCCAGAACTCTGCAGGAACAGGCTCTTCAGCCCCAGTGACTGGTGCTTCAACAAGAGGTTGTTAGGACTCCTGACCCACAAGGTCCTAGGCCCTTGTTGATTCCCCTCGGGGTGCTTGCTAATAGGGAGGTCTCTTTTATTGCTTACTTCAGTCCCGGATACATTTTTCTGGTTTTTTACAGTGAGGAAGAAGCTCAATATCTTCAGGGCCAGAATCCATGGCATGGAGCCATCTCTGCAGCTGCCCCGAGTCCAAGGCACTATGCCCGAGAAAAACAGCAGAAGACATGCTCAAGAACACTGAATTCCTTTCCACAGGAGACAGTAATGCCTAACCAGGGAGCACTCAACTATAGTCCCTGCCAGCTCCCTAATGCCTATCAGGAAGAGTTATTGCCAGCTTCAGTACAACTGTCATCCACACCCTGCTTCCCTGCTCCCACTGTGGGAGCTGCATTACCTTCCCAGAAGACGGGGTACTCTATCCTACCTGCTGGGCAGAGGAATCTGTCCTGTCCCTTCAGTGTTTACAAGTCACCCTGCAGCCAGCCCTGTGCACTGTGGTCGCCAGAGGTGCCCCTTTCTCCAGCGAGCAGCCCTTCGGTCCAGACTTGTCCGGTCCCCGCAGAGGAGCCTGGTGCAGGGCTGCAGTGCGCCGAGGCAGAGAGACGGGCCATTAGTGTCTTGGCGGAGCAGATCCAGGCCCTGGCCGAACGCCTCTCTCGGCACACAAAGCGAGCGGGCGCCGAGCCGCCGGGCGCTCCG